AGGTATCTTCTGCTTGCCTCTTATATCTTGAGCCAGGCCAGTGTGAAACTTTTCACTGCGGAACCAGGACAAACTAAATTAAAACTCATGACATCCTCAAATCAAAAACTATAGCCAACCTTAGAAAAGAAAACTCTCTTTTTAGAGACAAAACAAAACCCATGTTTCTCAGTAATTTAAAATTCTCACATTCCCCTTTATAACTTGAAATTCATCATAAGTAATTAAAACTAAGTTCATTGGCAAGTAATCTTTAAGGATGGTATTTTATTTTAAGCCAGAAAATGATGGTGGGGCTAACACTAATAATCTTTGCAGACAAGCCAGTGAAGCATTAAGGTGGCACATAGTAAATACAACACTGGACTTGAAAAGTTCAAGGGGCTAGTTGCTGGTCCCAACTCAGCAAAAAATAAACTTAGATAAGGGAGTTTCTCCATCTGGTGAAGGGACTAAAATCTTGTATGAATAAGAAGTCATATTTGTCATAATTATTATCTACAAAACATTGTCATGTAAATTATCTCATTGGATATCAAATGTTCATACTACTGAGAATTTTCCTTTGGAATGTTTATAAGACATTTGTCAAGGAGAGGATTTCAAGTGTAAGAACAAGCTGTAGTATTTTTTGAACTGTACTTATTAAACCACTACTTTCCTTTTTAAAAATTAGAGAGGGGCCTATTATACACAGTGATGTAAGTCAGAAAGAGAAAGATAAATATCATATACTAATGCATATATATGGAATCTAGAAAAATGGTACTGAAGAATTTATTTGAAGGGCAGCAATGGAGAAACAGAGTTTCAAAGAATAGCAGTTTGCAGAGTTCCAAAGAATAGGAAGGAGAAATAAGAAAGCCTTCCTCAGTGATCAATGTAAAGAAATAGAGGAAAACAATAGAATGGGAAAGACTAGAGATCTCTTCAAGAAAATTAGAGATACCAAGGGAACATTTCATGCAAAGATGGGCTAAATAAAGGACAAAAATGGTATGGACCTAACAGAAGCAGAAGATATTAAGAAGAGGTGGCAAGAATACACAGAAGAACTGTACAAAAAAGATCTTCACGACCCAGATAAACACGAAGGTGTGATCACTCACCTAAAGCCGGACATCCTGGAATGTGAAGTCAGGTGGGCCTTAGGAAGCACCACTATGAACAAAGCTAGTGGAGGCGATGGAATTCCAATTGAGCGATTTTCAAATTCTAAAAGATGATGCTGTGAAAGTGCTGCACTCAATATGTCAGCAAATTTGGAAAACTCAGCAGTGGCCACAGGACTGGAAAATGTCAGTTTTCATTCCAATCCCAAAGAAAGGTAATGCCAAAGAATGCTCAAACTACCACACAATTGCACTCATTTCACACGCTAGTAAAGTAATGCTCAAAATTCTCCAAGCCACGCTTCAGCAATATGTGAACTGTGAACTTCCAGATGTTCAAGCTGGTTTTAGAGAAAGGCAGAGGAACCAGAGACCAAATTGCCAACATCTGCTGGATCATCGAAAAAGCAAGAGAGTTCCAGAAAAACATCTATTTCTGCTTTATTGACTATGCCAAAACCTTTGACTGTGTGGATCACAATAAACTGTGGAAAATTCTGAAGGAGATGAGCATACCAGACCACCTGACCTGCCTCTTGAGAAACCTGTATGCAGGTCAGGAAGCAACAGTAAGAACTGGACATGGAACAACAGACTGGTTCCTAATAGGAAAAGGAATACGTCAAGGCTGTATAGTGTCACCCTGCTTATTTAACTTATATGCAGAGTACATCATGAGAAACGCTGGGCTGGAGGAAGCAGAAGCTGGAATCAAGATTGCCAGGAGAAATATCAATAACCTCAGATATACAGATGACACCACCCTTATGGCAGAAAGTGAAGAACTAAAGAGCCTCTTGATGAAAGTGAAAGAGAAGAGTGAAAAAGTTGGCGTAAAGCTCAACATTCAGAAAACTAACATCATGGCATCCAGTCCCATCCCTTCATGGCAAATAGATGGGGAAACAGTGAAAACAGTGGCTGACTTTATTTTTCTGGGCTCCAAAATCAGTGTGGATGGTGATTACAGCCATGAAATTAAAAGACGCTTACTCCTTGGAAGGAAAGTTATGACCAACCTAGATAGCATATTAAAAAGCAGAGACATTACTTTGCCAACAAAGTTCTGTCTGGTCAAGGCTATGATTTTTCCAGTGGTCATGTATGGATGTGAGAGTTGGATTATAAAGAAAGCTGAGCGCCGAAGAATTGATGCTTTTGAACTGCGGTGTTGGAGAAGACTCTTGAGAGTCCCTTGGACTGCAAGGAGATCCAACCAGTCCATCCTAAAGGAGATCAGTCCTGGGTGTTGGAGGATTGATGTTGAAGCTGAAACTCCAATACTTTGGCCACCTCATGCAGAGAGTTGACTCAATGGAAAAGACCCTGATGCTGAGAAAGATTGAGGGCAGGAGGAGAAGGGGACGACAGAGGATGAGATGGCTGGATGGCATCACTGACACAATGGACATGGGTTTTGGTGGACTCCGGGAGTTGGTGATGGACAGTCAGGCCAGGCGTGCTGCGGTTCATGGGGTCGCAAAGAGTTGGACACAACTGAGCAACTGAACTGAACTGAATGGAGAAACAGACGTAGAGAACAGACTTATGGACATGGGGAGAGGGGAAGAGAGGGTGAGATGTATGGAAAGAGTAACATGGAAACTTACATTACCATGTGTAAAACAGATACCTAATGGGAATTTGCTGTATGGCTCAGGAAACTCAAACAGGGGCTCTGTATCAACCTAGAGGAGTGGGATGGGGAGGGAGATGGGAGGGAGGTTCAAAAGGGAGGGATACATGTATACCTCTGGCTAATTCATGTTGAGGTTTGACAGAAAACAAAAAATTCTGTAAAGCAATTAACTTCAATTGAAAAATACATTTTTTTTTTTAAAAGGAAAAAAAAAAGGAGAGAGAGAGAGAGAGAGGGACTTCCCTGACTGACTTGTTCAGTGGTTAACACTCTGCACTTCCACTGCAGGGGGCATGGGTTTGGGGAACCCCACTGATTTACACAGCAGCCAAAGGGGAATAAAAAAAAGAGAGAGCCTCCCCAGCAGGAGGCTCGCTTCAGACCAGCCTCTACCACAAATTTTGTAAATGTGGGGAAGCAAAAGTACCACTAGATGGGGCAGGAACAAAAGATATCTATTTATTTATAGTTCAAGGAACACCAGCAGTCTTCAAAGGCGATCTTAAAGAGATCCCTTTCTGAGTAAATGCAAGCTTAGTAAAGCTTGCTGAGTTACCTCAAAAACCTAGAAAAATCTTTGGCAAAATCAGAACTAGAACCTCATTCAATAATTTACTCCATGGTCCTTCCACAAAACCATGTTGATGGGAAGATTCTTTTTCCTTCTTACACAGAGAGTGTTATCAACAACGGTGTAGTTTTTTTCACACTTCTTAACTGAAGGATAAGAATTGTATTGGACAACACTGAGGGACCTACTTCAGGCAGTAAGATGAAATTCTAGACAGGTTCATAAATACACATACTCTCATGGTCTTCCTGATCTATCTTCTCAGGGTCAAGATCCCAACAGGGTATCACACTGATTGCCTTTGAAATTCAGGCTGCCTGCTACTCTCTCTCCCAGCAACTGCTACCAGAATAACTGTCTTAAGAAAGTGAAGGCCTCTAGTCAAAACAGCCCTCATCAAAAAGTCTACAAACAAAAGCTGGAGAGGATATGGAGAAAAGTGAACCCTCTTGCACAGTTGGTGGGAATGTAAATTGATACTACTATGGAGAACAGTATGGAAATTACTTGTGAAACGGGGAATAAAACTACCATATGATCCAGCAATCCCACTACTGGGCATATACCCTGAGAAAACCACAATTCAAAGACACATGTACCCTAATGTTCATTGCAGCTGTATTTACAATAGCCAGGACACAGAAGAAACTTAAATGTCCAGACGAATGGATAAAGATGTGGTGTGTGTATGGAATGTTACTCAGTCATAGAAAGGAACAAAATTGAGTCATTTGTAGTGATGTGGATGAACCTAGAGTCTGTCAGAGTGAAGTCAGAAAGCGAAAAACAAATGTCATATATTAACATATGTATGATATCCAGAAAAATGGTACTGAACCTATTTGCAGGGTAGGAATCCAGATGGAGTCGGGGTGCAAACTGACAGGGCAGCATTGCCAAACACACACAACCATGTATAAAATATTAATAGGTAGCCAGTGGGAAGAGCTCAGCTTGGTGCGTTGTGGTGACCTAGATGGGTGGGATGTGGGGAGCTGGGGGAGGTTCAAGAGAGCGGGACAGATCTATACATACTGCTGATTCACTTCTCCTGGACAGCAGAAACCACTACAACACTAAAGCAATTACTCACCAATTAAAGTGTTTTTATTATTATAGAAGTGAAGGCATTGACTTCGGATGAATCCTCACATAACTTGAAAGTTAGGTTTTATGACAGGAGGGCAGAATGATTTGTTGGTTGTTTCCTAATGGGCCTTTTTCTTTTTTTTCCTTCCCTTTTAGCAAAGAAACCCGACTTAATTCTTGCGGGTGGGGGCATAAATTTCTTCTGAAATTCCTATCGCCCCTTAATACTTTGAATCCAAAGATGGAGACAAAGATGAAAAGCAACGACCATTAAGGAACATGACTTCCACTGTTTTGAGAACACACTATATCTTCCTGTTAACAAATAAGAATTCAAGATCTCACACAAAAAAAATCACCGCTGTTCCACATCCCAAGACTGATCGGGATCAAGTTCAGCAGAGGCAAAAACCTGGACAAAATCCGCAGAGCAAGAACTAGGTTGTGATACACTGATAAAGGGCAATAAAACCAAAGGAGGGGAGGAGGAAAAAACCCTATAAGATAGCCAACTACTCGGCTCATTGCCCATTCATTTGGACGGATTTTGGAGCTGCCTCCACTTGTCCTTCTGACAAGTTTTATTTGCATGCTCTCCGGTCCAATCTGCAAGCTTCGCGGTCCACTGATGGCAGGGGAGACAGACGCACACAGACGGACCCCCTCCATTCAGGGAGAAAACAGATGCCCCCGCTACCCTCCCCCTTACCGCCCCCCGCAGTCCCTCAGGCTGCAGGTGTCTGAGCCGAGTCCCGGGTGCAAGTCCCACAGCTCAGGGAAGCGCACCGCGCGCGGGAACCCCGCTCCGTTCCTTTCCCTGCGGTTACAGCCATGCCTCGGCCCACCGAGCGACCCGCGGCTGACAGAGCCCAACTCTTCACGGCGGCAATGGGCACCTCCGGAGAAGACCCGGGCCGACCGCGGCCTCAGGCGGGGAGCTGGGGCTGGGCGGGCGGGCCACCGCAGGTTCCCGGGAGAGGTGAGCGAGCCAGCGGCTGACATTTTTTGTTTGTTCCACACTGGATGGTGGCTGGCGGTAGGCCAAGGCTTTTCCGCCCGCTGAAAGTCAGCGAGAAAAACAGCGCGCGGTAAGCAAAAGCACAGCGCCTACGCCCGTCTGAATTAGGGTTAGATGAGAAATGGCTGCCACCAACCCGGGGCCCACCCTCCGCAACCCGTCGCGCCGCCGGCTGCGTCTCCTTATGAATGCAGCAGTCGGCCCCTACGCGGATTGGCCGAGCCTGTCCACCGCGGCTCTCGCGATAACCGGTCTCGCAATTTTTTTTTTTCCCAAAAGTTCTGTTTCCGGCCTAAAGGATAGTCGCCGCCCCACCCCACGTTTCTTATTCGCAGATTTGAATCTTTACTTCTGACATGTGACCTTGTGACTTGAAAATTAGCTTGAGTGCTTCTGAGCGCTGTTTTCCACCTCTTAAAAACCAGGTACGGCGCACGATATCATCTTAAAGAAATGGAGTTCATAGAAAAAATTTAGGGCCAATACAATGATGCTCAGTTCTGATCATCACATTTGATAGAGAACTTAAATAGATTCCCTAGCAGCACCGACTAAACCAGAATCTTGGTTCGGCTCATTGGGCTGCCTCTGAGATCCTAACCTGTTCCCTCCTCCTTAGAATGTCCTCTCAACTTTTTGAGCAGAGGATGTTTTTATGACATATAACTACTTCATTCTTGATCTTAATATTAAGAACTGAATCCCTCTTTAAAGGCTTTTCAATCACGGACTTTGCTTTAATGTGTCATGATCACGTTAAGAAAGAACAATGCACCATAAATTGTAGCAGGTTTTCATATTCGCTGGTACAATGCTGTTTTTCATATAATTGGCTGATCTTAAAAGTAGAACTTTTCAATTGGGTGAACTCCATGGAGCTGCCACTATTGGCACCTCTATATGAGAGAAAAGTAAAATGTTATGGGGATTGATTTGATACGGAAACAACAAAAAGTACTAAACGAAAATTTTCACATTTTATTTCCTTTCCCTAGATTTCCTGAAAAGGATCATCCATAATCCTAAAAGGCTGGAGTCTATTCCAGGCTAGTTGTTGGGTTAACTGCCTAAGAAGCTACAGTTAAATTAGTTAACTCAGTAAGCTACTTTGGGAATCACTTTAAGTTTTTATCTCTTAATCTCTTTAAAGCTCAGCTTCTTAATTTGTAAATGGGAATACTACTTGTCTTGCCCATCTCTCTGAGCTGTTATTTAAATTAGGTAACGTTGTGGCTGAGATTTCTTATAGGAAAAAAGCAATTTAAGAACTCTGAAGTGAGGGGGTTGGGATCATTCTCTCTACAATGCTTGTGAATCTAGTGAGTACCTCACCAAATGTTCAGACTGCTCTCAGATAATCATTTTCTACACCGTATGCAGTCTGGTAGTTGTGCTTACAATCACTATTAAATGGGAAACACATGTCAAAAAATGAACCGCACCTCTTCACAAATGTATCCTTTACCAGCTGAGCCACAAGGGAAGCCCAAGAATACTTGGTGGGTAGGTAGGGAAGGGTGGGTAGCCTTTCCCTTCTCCAGGGGATCTTTGCAACCCAGAAAGTGATCAGGAATCGAACCGGGGTCTCCTGCATTGCAGGCGGATTTTTTTTTTTTTTTTTTTTTTAACCAACTGAGCTATCAGGGAGGCCCAATTAAATGGAAAACACATGTCAAAAAACGAAATGCACCTCTTCTTAAATCTTTCCTTCAGACCAAACTGAATTACTTCCTGCTGCTTGTACATAGCATCATTTTTACACCTTGGAGCCTTTGCCCTAATGTTCCTTCTGCCATCAGTATGCTTTTCGTCAGTTCTATATATCTGCATACCTACCGTAGAAGTCATGAGGGAAGGAGACAGAGATGAAGAGAAAGCCCACAACTCATCTTCTAAGAACGTATCTAGTAAGGGAGAAAGACAAGCAAACCAAAAGAAAAGCCTGCATAAATTGTGATCAATAAAAGTTCAAATAGTATAATGTGTGCTGAAGGACACAAGCGATTTTTGACTCTGCGCAGGAATTAGCAAGAACTGGACCTATAAATTGTCTAATTCTCTAAGCAAAGTAACATTTTGAAAATGCTTGTAGAAACATTATCTTCTTTGTATTTCATAAGGACCCTGGTGAAACAGATAGGGATTAGGATTAGCAACCCCATTTACCAATGAGGAAATTGATATTCAAAATGTTTAAACAATTTGTTGAAATGCAGCTGGTAGGCTGGCAGGGCCTGGACCTGAATCCACACATCCTGCCCCTAAGTCCAGAGGGATGGGCAATCTATTAGATTTAAATTCCAGCTTCAAGTTCAGCCCCAATGCCAAATCTATCAGAAAGTCTTTCTGAGCACTCAAGGTGTTTTCCCTCCTACAAAACCCCATTTCACATTTCTCTTAGGACACTAACCCACTTTGCATCTTATTGTAGTAGGTATGAATTTCATTTCTTACACTGGAATGCTGGATTCCACAGGACACAATCTGACTCCTGATTTAGCACTTACAGTGCTTTGCACAGAGCAGATACTACACTTTGAGTTATGTCAACACTGCCAACATTCTCTCAGCCATCTTGGTCATTTCAGACCCTTTGTTCCCCTTCATAACTAATTAAGCACCAAGACTTGTCAGTTTTTCATTTCTTGCTTATAATCTTGAGTGTAAGACTTGACTTCTTTATATCTAGACTAATAACTTTTTAATTGATCATTGAATCTACAGGGCCTTTCCCAGTGCAATTTATCCTCCCAACTACTACCACATTCATCTTAATTTCTTTATGTCTCCTGTTTTCAGATCTCTTGCCTATACAACATTTAAAACAAAGCCTTCCAGCCTCTGGCCTTAATTTACATTCCTAGTCATAGCTCTTAGTCTGCTCAAAGAGAGCTCTTCATTTTAACTAAACCGGGGTGTTAAACATGCCTTGAATATGCTTTGTTCATCCTCATATCTAGACTCTTACTCATTTCCATTATGCTCTTCTGAATATCTGTCCTTTTTTTTTTCACCCTGCCATGCCCATCCTAATGCTACCTCATTCATGATGGCTTTCCTCTGCTATGAAATCTTCCCTCATAGCAAACTTCCTTTCATAAACTTCAACAAACTGAAAGCTATATCACTCATTTGGCACATACCATGTTGTACCACAAATTGCTCTCTCTCTCTAAAGGAAATGTGAGATCTCCAAGGTCAAGAATAATGTCTCCTCTAGCATTTAACTTGCTTCCCAGGTAGCACTAGTGATAAAGAACTGGCCTGCCAATGCAAGCGGTATGAGACATGGGTTCAATCCCTGGGTCGGGAAGATACCCTGGAGTGGGGCATGACAACCCACTCCAGTATTCTGGCCTGGAGAATTCCATGGACAGAGGAGCCTGGTGGGCTACAATCTATCGGGTCACAAAGAGTGAAGACACAACTGAAGTAACTTAGTATGAGCATTTAATTTGGTTCAACTCAGTAAGCATCTATTGTTTGACTGCTTCTCCATTATTTCCACTATAGAAATGCAAGAGATGTGGACATTCCAATAATTGAAATATTTTCTGTCTTCCCAAACATGTAATATCCAAAGTTTTCTGTCACATATACTCAAAACATTTTCTCCTAACCATTTATCTGTAGTCAGAAGCATCTCTGGTGTACTATATTGGGTCCAACTTCTTTATATTCTGCAGCAGTGATCCACATGTCCTGGAAGGCAGACAGGGATGCAAGAATAGAGCCTCCCATCCACACTGATGTTTTCCTCTCTGGGGGAGCAATAACCTGCACAGGGGTGTTGGCAGGTACCATCTTGGCTATATCCCTAACTAGACGTTTATCTAAACCAGGGAAAGAGGTTGATCCCCCAGCAAGGATAATATTGGAGAAAAAAGCATTCCTCAGATCTGCATCGCATTTCATTATGCTGCTGAAGCACATCTTATCAATGCCAGGGGTCTCAAGGTGCATGAGACTTGGAGAAAAGAGGGCCTCTGGACAATGAAAGAGCTGGCTATGGAGCTTGAACCTCTTCCCATCAGGTAGTTGGTAAATCTTCTCTATACAGTCAGATTTCTTGGCCTTTTCTTCTTCAAAGTTCATTGCCACATAGCAATAGGTTTCCTTAATGTCCATGACAATCTTTCTGTCTGAAGCACGAAGCAGCATGACGCCGTCCTCCTTCAACAGCATCATGAGGTAGTTGGTGAGGTCAAGACCTGCCAGATCTAGTTGCTGGACACCATGAGGCAGACAGTAACCCTCAAAGGTGGGTACACACTGGGTAACCCCAGCACCTGAATTCAGCACAAAGCCAGTTGTGAAGCCAGCAGCAAAGAGAGCTAGCACCCCCTGGATGGACATAAAGAAGGCAGGAACCTCCAGATGCTCAAAAAACACCTCAGTGACCCGTTGCCGGTTGGCCAGTGGGTTCAGTGCTGACTCTGTAATCAAGACTGGGCCATCACAGGGCTTTAGCCTGAGGTTATCATCATAGATATGCTTCCACATGATCTCCATGTCCCCCCATGAAGTAATGAGACCACGTTCCACTGGGTAGCTGTAAGAAGAGCAATAAGATAAATGGAAGCTTTAAATTTTTCCAATTTTTACTCTCTTCAAAACTGGGTTAATCCTCATTTTTATTACCAGTATCCCTTTATGGGCGGTGACTGCCAGCGCCTCTAGAGATGGTAACTGCCAGCAGAAGATAACCTAGCTACCTTCCTCTGAATTTTTTTGTTGATTTCCATCTTCTCTGCCCCTTTGGAATACCCTTTTTAATTAAAAAGAAAATAAGGAGATCTTCACATAATAGTACAGTTTTCATATCAGTTAGTTGAAAACAAATAGCCCAAATGACAAAGGTACCAGGAATTAACATTTCTAAATGAACTTGTATTTTATGAACGACAGTGTTTATACGTTTGAATATATTCGAATAGATACAAAGAGCAAGTAATGTTCACTCTGTAGGTATGTGGTACCCTCAGAGATTTGTGCTCAAGCGTTTGTAACAACGCCGCCTGGCAGAGCCTCTCGTTACTCGCTTCCTATCCTTTCTCTAGCCTCGGCCCCTCCTCTGGGTTCTCCCGCCTTCCCCTCCACCGGGTCCTGCCCGCCGAGAGAAGGCGGTACCTGATGGAAAGCGAGTTTCTCCGCTGCTCCGCTTGGTCTCCCACGCACACTTCCTGCGCGCCCTCGACGCCCGTCGGGCCTTTGGCACGGCCCACAATGTCCGGGTAGACAAACTGAGGCTCCCGGGACCCGGCCAGGCCCGCCTTGATCACTCCTGAGCCGTTGTCGATCACCACTGGTAGCTGGTAGTAGCTCATGCCGCCGTCGCCTGCTGTCTCCCGGCTGCTTGGACTGCCCAGGCTGCGGGCTGCGCGGGGTGCGCGAGAAGTGATGTGCGGGGTCTTAGCTCCTGGAACCCCGCGTCATAGTGGCCCTGGCACCGCCCCGCCGGGACTGAGCGGGGCTGGCTAGAGGAGGGGGAGCGGGGAGCGGGGAGCGGGCAGCGGGGGAGGGGGTGGGGGGGGGCGAGAGAGCCCCAGGTAGAGGACTCGATGGATGCAAGGTGCGCCCTAAAGTGCCACCTACAGTTGCGTTTTACTCGCCCTGGACCACTCATCACCCCCTTGGAATCCAGGAATACCATTATCAGGAAAACCTGCCTTTCCTCCCTCAAAAGCTTAATAAAAAAGGCTTCACAAAAGGCTGTCTCTAATAACTCCATGAGCTGTAAAACCTTTTATTTCTCAACGTCATTAAAATGAAGTCGCTCAGTCGTGTCCAACTCTTTGCGACGCCATGGACTGTACAGGCTCCTTCATCCATGGAATTTTCCAGGCAAGGAGACTGGAGTGGGTTGCCATTTCCTTCTCCAGGGGATCTTCCCGACCCAGGGATCGAACCCGGGTTTTACTCACTGCAGGCAGACTCTTTACCATCTACATTCTGGTTAATAGATGTCTGTCCAGGGTCCTGCAGGAAGTTCCCAGATGCGCCCTTAAAATCGACAAAAGGTGCAGAGATTTGAACGGGGAAAGTGTAGAAGGCGGGGCACGGTTCACGCTTCTGAACTTCTTGAAAGAGAACTTTGTCAATTTTTAAAAGGAGAAAGGGGGAAAGTGCCAGGATTTAAAGTGGGTTTAACATACTTTTATTATATCTATATATAATCGGCAATACTTTGTTTCTTTCCCCGTGGTTTCTAAACAAAGTGTACTCAAAACCGAAATAGTACCATCTCACTTTAAAATTTTTTTTAGCAATCCCATCAGATTACTCCTCCAATCCCCGCCCCCGGTGTAATATGGAAGCTCACTCTCATTCCTGAAAAATTATTGATTTTTTAGACATCAGGGTGTATCTGCTTCTTTCCAGGGTAAACGATATTACTTAAGTCATGAGAAGTTCAGGCTTAGAAAATTCATGCACGCTGTGTGGCAAAAAGTGCATCTTGATGTCTGATTAAAAAAAAAAAAACCACCCTGAATTTTGCACACCCTATAGAAGATTTTAAAACTAAGTGCTGTCTAAAACTAGTACAGAAGCAAGGGAGGAAATTCAAATCTAAACTACACGTCCTTCCACGAGAGGCTGAAAGCGTCGCTTTCTCTCTAGAAGCTAAGATCACGGCTGGGGAGTTTGGTGCCCCTCCTCCGCGCCCCCACCCCACCCCGCCCCTCCGCCCCTCCGCCCCTGCGTGAGCGAGGACTCCAGGATCCCAGAGCAGTCGCCTCTTTCTAGCTAGCCAAAGCCCTGAAACATACCCGAGACACTCAGCAACAAAGAAGCTAATATACTTCTTTTCCGTAGAAGAAAGAAAACCTCAAAGAAGGGCCAACTAACGGGTGCCCAGTTTCTAACCAGGGGCTTTGAAAACAATGTACGTAAATTTCAACTTTTGAAATGGTATCACTGTTTAACTGGACATATGGTCATTTCCCGTTGGGGTTTCTTTGTTCTTTTGTTAAGTTATGTTAACTTTCTGAACTGCATGCCACAACAGAACTACGAGACCTATGAGGGAGTTTCTCAAAGTCTTTCTTCAGGCGGGTTTCCGTAGTGTAGTGGTTATCACGTTCGCCTAACACGCGAAAGGTCCCCGGTTCGAAACCGGGCGGAAACAGCTTTCATTTCCTTTCCGTTTTTAACAGGAGCAAAAGGAGCCTGCGATCCTCCTTTTCTTACTCTTTTAAAAAGTAAAATTCTGATAATAATTTGCAGTACCTTGGGAATTTGAACTTTTAACGTGGATATTATTGAACAAATATTCTTATTAATGGCTTGCACGTGGAAGAAGTGTTCCAGACTTTAAACAATTGTTTTTAAATTCAACTCACAACCTGACACTGAAAAAATAATGTACAGCCTAGCAAGAGTAATTAAACGCAGGGTAAAAACTGGTAAGCCCTGTCACCTCATCACTCTTTGTATTACAAGTCATTCGGTTTTCCGTTAGCTTTCCCATTGAGATTGTTGATTTTTCTAAACGCCAGAGACCAAGTTTTGCGCTCTTTCATATACTTCATATCTGTTTGACATCTACTAGAGACTCACAGCTATCCCTGAATTAATAAATTACCGAAAAGGATTCCGACAAAAATAAATGTAATCAGAAAATTATACTCCAAGAGAAGACGAAATCAAGAACCAGACTCATTTTTTCCCCTTACAAACCTAACGGTTGTGGGGCTTCCCCCACCCCCACCCCCATAAACATCGTTCTAACCGAGAAGAATTTACAGAGAGCAAACAAAATATGGTTGTAAAAAAAATCTCGAGACAAAAAAGAATAAATTCAAGTTTACAATGTTCTTTAAAATTAAGTCGTGAGTAAATTTCCCATGGTCCTGACACAACTTTTAACAAGTAAAAAAATGCGAAGTTTTTGTTTTCTTGGATTTTTGATGTCCGCATAAAAGTACTCACCCTAACATATCAGCACGTACCGTTTGTACGTCTTTTTAAATCACGGAGCTAACCAGCACACCTTTCCCTCACTGTGGTTGACTGCGTGGTTGTCTGACTCTTTCCTACCCCATGGACTGCATGTAGCCCGCCAAGCTTCCCTCACTGTACAAAATCTGCATAGAATGCAAATAATTGTATTAAATGTTTTCTAGTCCACAGGCAGAACCTTTTCCGGTATAAAGCCCACTTTTCCCCAAGCGCACGCCCAGTGTGCCCTACAGATTTGCACCGCTTTCTTGCATCTCAGACTTCTATCACCAGGTAAGGGTATCCTGGATACTGGGCTCCAGTTGGCTGATGCAAACAAGACTCATAGTTTCTCAAGAGCTTTCTAGTAGTGCCTAAAATAAAAAGGGGTGATCAGTCTCAGCTCCAAAATTCCCATGGCCGAGAGCCAGAGTACACAAAGCAGCTGTTCCCACTCGTGGGGCCTCACGGAAGTGGAGGATAATGGGAGACAGACGAGCAACTAACTACAAGCCCCAGCATACAATGCACAATTTGGTCCTGGAAAGAGGCCCGCAGGGCAGCGCGGCTCAGCCTCCGCGCAAAACGCAGGCGGAGCGCGAGATGCTGACTGTGTAGAATGCTCAAGGTGAGGACGACAGTCGTGGCTCCGTAAGAGAGCCCTTTGTCGCCTAGCCAAGACTCTTCCTGTTTCCGGGTGCTCCTGGCAGGCTAAGTAGCGAGGTCTCTATGCACCAGCATGCTGCCCTCAGGCTGCTGTTGGACCGCCAGGGTCCTAGAGCCTACCGCATAACCGCGGAACGCGCGGGACCGGATGTGACATCACCGTGGAGGAAGCAGGGAAAGGCGGAGCGTGGCGTGGTGACGTCTTTCCAAGATGGCGGAGAGAGAGTGAAGAAACTGTTCCCCTTCGGGTTTCTATAGGTGAGTTCTGTCTTTGCCCCAGGCCGCTATTCCCGCTCTCTCCACACCTTCTGGCATTGGAGGGCAGGCTCTGTGGAGTTCGCATTCAGGCCGGTGTGAAGGTGTTAGGGTGGAAAGCTAGGGCGAGGCAGCCCCGGTGTTGGCCTTGGCCACAGCCTCTGCCGTGGGAATTGGGGGAGTGGGAGCAGGGCGAAGGGTAGGAAGGCGGAAGTCGGGAGAGACCGGCTTTTACTGTCACTCTCTTTGCGGCCTCGAGTAGACGGAGGTGGTGGTAGGGAGGAACGTGGCCTCCTCGGGGCGAGTGACCAGATCTTTGACAACTCTTGACTTTGCTGGTTCTCCGCCCCCTTCGGCACCCGCCTTGCGTTTAAGCCGCTGTATGCTCTGCGGAAGTTAACGGGTTTCGGAGATTTGAGAGCAATTTTACACTTAATCGAAAGGCAGAGAAGCAGTTGAGAAAATTTTAAAGAACTCGTACCATGTCCTTTGACCATTTGTCCCAAGGAATCATTTCTTAGTGGTTTGTTAATTTTTTTTTTCCGTAATTTACGTGTGCCTACTGAGCTTGAAACTGAAGGTTCAACTGATGTTCAATTCAGTCTCTCAGTCGTGTCCGACTCTTTGCGATGTAGAAGTGTGAAATTTTGCGGTGCTTTTTTTTCACTTTGTGGCAATGTTTTCACACATCGTCATTTGTTGACGTGTCCAAAGGATTGTGTTAGTTGACCATGATGAAATAAAAACTAGGAAGGCTTTTTATCCCTTTGGCATTTTTATCTGTATTTGCTTGATAAGAATTTTCTGGGGGCGTAAAGTGAGAACAGACTTTGTTCTTGTTTGGATTCTGTGTCTCTATTCACCAATGGCTTGGGAGAAAAGTTTGATGAAAACTTAGTGGTACTGATTTACTCTCTCTCTTGTTTTTTTAGAACAAGGATAGAATTCGATTCCGATATCAAAATGCAGTATTCGCACCACTGTGAGCACCTTTTAGAGAGACTGAACAAACAACGGGAAGCAGGTTTTCTTTGTGACTGTACCATAGTGATTGGGGAATTCCAGTTTAAAGCTCACAGGAATGTGCTTGCCTCGTTTAGTGAATATTTTGGTGCAATCTACAGGAGCACTTCTGAGAACAATGTCTTTCTTGATCAGAGTCAGGTGAAGGCTGATGGATTTCAGAAACTGTTGGAGTTTATATACACAGGAACTTTGAATCTTGACAGGTAAGGTACATGTGTTATTTCCACTTACAAAAGCTGGTCAATAGTTTTGAGCTAAAGCAGATTAGTATTTTTTCCATTCAATACCTGAACTCTCAGTCTTCAAATACTGATGTGCCCAGTGTTGTTTTTAATAAAGAGGTCAGTATCGCTGGTTTGCAGTAAACAGACTACATTTCATAAGCACAAAAAGTACAGATGTTAGTAGGAATACAGCATGGTTTTTGACATATTTGACTTACCTACTGAAACACAGTGTGTGTTTTGAGGAATGGAAACTTAAAGATCGAAATAGAAATACGATGAATTTTCATTGAATTCCAATTTCCCCTTGCTTTTTGGCCTTTAGGTTCCCTCTGGTTTTCTCTCTCACTCTTCATCCCCTACTTCATAAGATGTTTGGGTGGGAGGTATAGGTGGAGAAAGAAGAAAGAATCTGTTGGTTTTAAAGTGCCCCCTTTTCTAGCCATAAATAGCAACATGCAGGACCTCTTCCTGATCTTGATTCAGAAAAATAAAATGCTTAAGTCAGCTAGAATGCTTCTCTGAGATGTTGAATGCTGTCACTGCAGTGAAAAGAAGTAAGTTCTGAAGAACCTGATAAGGCAGGCATTTTGTCTTTCATTTCAATGTACTGTGTAGTTAAATTAATACTAATATGTTTACTCGTTGTTTGAGAGAAAGGCGATAGGGATAAAAGGAAAGAGAAACCCATCAAATTACTCCTGCCTTCTATTCTCCAGCTTTTTTGAAAGTGTAAACATGAATAGGTCACCATCTGACATAGCACGGTTATGAACTTTAGAATTGGATCTTGCCTGTCCGTCTCTATGTTTCTTGGATCAATATACATCGTCTCTAGGCCTCAGTTTCTCCATATGAAAAAATGAGATGATAATAACTACATGGGTTGTTACTGTGAAGATTTAGAATTTACTATCTCCCAGTGAACATTAGTTTCCTTCCTTTATTTCTTCTTTTCTATCCTACTCTCCAAATCCTTTGAATCCACATTTATTGGAGAAAAATTAAGGAAAAAAGCAAAAAAGGAAACATCTGAAATTCTGCCACCCATGGATAATCACTCTTAACACTTTGATAAATACTATTTCAGTTTTCCAGATGGTCGCTATAGATACATACGTGTACACATTAAACAAAATCCTTCCCTCTCTTTACATTGCAGCTTATCATGAAAATATATTTCTCTGAAAAGCTGGAGTCAGGATTTTCCTTAATCCTATTAAAAAGGAAGCATTCATGCTGTTTGGAATTACTTTTAAATTTTGATGTAATGAAATTTTTGTGTCAGTTCTGTATAAGTTGCTTAAAGGAACAGCAGTGTCACAGATAAATGTCACATGATATTATTTAAGTTTCCTGAATATTTGGCTGTACAAGTGCCTTTGATCTAAAAATTTAGAATGTGTAATATAAAATAAACAATCACAAAACCAGTGAATTTTGGTTGATCTTTAATTTAGTGATTTCCCTTTCTCAGTTAACTTTGCCAGAGAAATCTTGAATTGGTTTGCACGCACTGAAGGGCAGCTTGCTTTGAGCCCCATGCAGAGGACCGGTGTGAGGAAGAGCCAGGTGTTTGGCTCAGTCTTTTTTGATACACGTCTCTCCTGGAGAGCTGGGGAGTTAATTGTTTGAGCCCAGCCATAAATGTAAGAGAAGATGCATACCAGAAATAGAAAGTCTGTACAAATTATCAAGAGAACAGAATAATAAAGAATTAAGTGGTCTCAGGAGCCAGTTTCCTTGCTCAAATCTTAGTTCTAATGCTCTGTGATCTTGGACGAGTTACTTCTTTGAACCTCTGATCCTTTGTATGTAAAATGGCGATTACAGTTACTCATATAAAGCAGTTAGCCATATATCTGGTATAGGTAATTAAATGACTTTCAGTGACTGTTCAAAAAGTGAAAGCAAGTTTGCAAACACTTTTAACTTCATGTTTATAAACAAAAGCAAGTCAGTTATTTGCATAAACAAATGCTGATTGATTTTTTTAACTGTGAGCTTATAGGCTATCAATGAAATAGGTAAATAATTTGTATGAATTACAGTTTCAGTTCTGAACAATTCGTGTGTGATTCAGTACTAGTTTGTAGTGGTCTTAAAGGTTATCTGACCTAGTGTTGTGGTTCATTTACTAAGAACAATTGTAATTTGAGACCTTGGTATAATAAGTGATAGAATAAATTTGGGTCTCATTCTAATAGTGTCTCTCACTTACTGTAATTTAATAGTAGACTGTGTAACAAAAATCAATAAAAAAATGCTTAAAAAACAATGTTTTTACAGACTAAGTGGTATATACATGCAAAGAAATTCATATGGAAGACTAATAAGATTGTATTTATTTTGGGGGCATTCATACTGTACCTTTGCAAACAGAAAGTTAACTTAATTACAAGGATCATTCCTTATTTGTTCCAAAATTATAGCCAAAGGCCATAAGAATAGAGTAAGTGATGTATTCTTAGCTAAGGAAGTCAGTTTGCAAACAGATGATTGTCGAAAAGTTTGTTTGTAGTATATTTAGGAATTTGGGATGGATTCTCCCAGAATAAAGTGTTCACTAAAACTTGTGATTAGGTTTCCAGACTAGTCTATAAATCTACTTAATTTTTTCTGAAAAAAATTTTTTCTGGGGAAAATGACAAATAGGAGGGTTAGTAGAGGGTGTATTTGTATGTGTGTAAGTATATATTCATTCTCAAATAATTAAAAGGGCGTGTTTTTGGTATTAATACCAACTCAGCTCTCTGACTTTACAACTAAGAAAATTGAAGCCCCCAAAGATGCTGACTTACCCTAATTAAGTCAGCTAGTAGTCCAGAGCCATTGCTAACGTAATTGAACAACCAGCCTTACCCTGCATTGTAAACTTCTGGAGGGCAGAGGCTATTTGATACGTCTTAATATCCCTCTGAGTACCACATATGGTAGATCCTCAGTAAATATTGATTTGCATGTTGAACATTCAAATTGAACATTAAATTTTTCTACATAACTCTAATATGATAAGTTCTCCAGCTAATTTGTGTTGAATATCAAACACAAAAAAGCTGGGAAGGTTTCTAGAGAGCTTAGTGCTTTCTAAAACCTTGTTCCTTCAGCTGTGATCCATGGACCAGCAGCATTGGCATCACCAGGGAGTGTGTTAGAAATGCAGATGCTTGGGCCCCAAAACAGACCTACTGAATCTGAATCTACATTTAACAAATCCGTGGGTAATTGAAATGCACAGGAAGTTTCAAGAAATACTGTTCAAGTTCCTCATAGGGGAGCAGAGGAAGATAATAGTTTTTCAAGACTCTTATTAATTACAAATAAAGAAAAGTTGGTTGCTATCTGAAGAGGCCTCAGGATAAATGGGAGGAGGCAGTAGGTTGCCAACAACTATTTTTTTGTTCCAGGTGTTTTTTTAACAAGTAGAGATATTAACAGTTTGTTTTTCCATGGTTGTACATATGAATGATCCATTACTTTTTAATCTTTTCAAATTCTGTAAAACTGAATATTTTTTTCCTAAAACATTCTGAGTGAATAAATTTGTTCTGTTAATCATTTTTCATCATTCTACTTCATTAGGTCTTTAAAAGACAAATATTTGTGTAGTTGTATTTCAAAAACATTTTTTCTTTGATCAGAATATTGTCATTTAGCCTTGTTTCCTTACAGTTGGAATGTTAAAGAAATCCATCAGGCTGCTGACTATCTCAAAGTGGAAGAGGTGGTCACTAAATGTAAAATAAAGATGGAAGATTTTGCTTTTATTGCTAATCCCTCTTCTACAGAGATATCTAGTATTACTGGAAACATTGAATTGAATCAACAGACTTGTCTCCTGACTCTGCGAGATTATAACAGTCGGGAGAAATCAGAAGTGTCTACAGATTTAGTTCAGGCAAATCCTAAACAAGGAGCTTTAGCAAAGAAGTCATCTCAAACTAAAAAGAAGAAAAAGGCCTTCAATTCCCAGAAAACAGGGCAGAATAAAACAGTGCAATATCCCAGTGACATTTTAGAGAATGCGTCTGTTGAATTATTTCTCGATGCAAATAAGTTATCCACACCTATAATAGAACAAGTTGCACAAAGAAGTAATTCAGAACTTGAGTTGACATCAGTTGTGGAAAATACTTTCCCAGCACAAGATATTGTGCAGACTGTTACAGTGAAACGGAAACGTGGAAAATCACAGCCAAACTGTGCTCTGAAAGAACACTCTATGTCTAATATAGCCAGTGTCAAGAACTCTTATGAACTGGAAAGCTCTGGGGAAGAGCTGGATCAGAGGTATTCCAAGGCCAAACCAATGTGTAACACATGTGGGAAAGTGTTCTCAGAAGCCAGCAGCTTGAGAAGGCACATGAGAATACATAAAGGAGTCAAACCTTATGTCTGCCACTTGTGTGGAAAGGCATTTACCCAGTGTAACCAGCTGAAAACTCATGTAAGAACTCATACAGGTAAGACTGTGGGAAGTATAGATGTCTTTATATTGTGGCTGAAGTGTTTTTATAGGCATTAATATATAGTGTTGACTATATATGTCCAAAATTTAGTATACACTTATATTCGTAAAAATATTGAGCATGTTAGACTCGAGAATACCTTTGTAATTGTGACCAAATATTTAATGGCTCTTTGTTTTGTTGTAATTGGTACTCTGAAGTCCCAGTGCGTGAACTCTAAACCATTTTTCCTCACAGTTAAAATAAGCATAAACTTAGTTCTAGCTTGCTGTTTAACAGACAGTATATTAAAACTGATAAAGAGAAAAAGTAATTACAACTCAGACTGATTCTCAGATTTTGCCAAGATATCTCACTACCTGCTTCCTTAGACTTTGTCAACTTCTGAACGTAAATTATATGTACATTCCTTTCTCAACTTTTATTGGTATACTAGATTTGTACTTTTCAGAAGCATTATATATTTCTCTCATCACCTTTCACTGTTATGAAATAAGAAACACTAATTTCTTTTAACTCTATTGGTGTTTTCAATAATCAATCTGGGAAAAGATCCTATATGCCTTTTTACTTCTAGCAGTTAATATTTTCTGAATACTGAAACTAATACTGTTGAACTCTTTTGAAAGCTTGTATGACTTAAGCAACTAAAACAATATTTCCTTCTAAATATAAATTTTACTTACTTTTCTTTTAGGTGAGAAGCCATACAAATGTGAATTGTGTGATAAAGGATTTGCTCAGAAATGCCAGCTAGTCTTCCATAGTCGCATGCATCATGGTGAGGAAAAACCCTATAAATGTGATGTATGCAATTTACAATTTGCAACTTCTAGCAATCTCAAGATTCATGCAAGGTAAAAATAAAAGCAAAAAAAAGACATTTGATCTTTAAGTCTGTCATTCACTGTAGCCTTAAATAGACTATTATATGAGAATTCAGGACAGTAGAGTTCTAATTGTAGTACCATCACACAATATTATTAGCACAGTGAAGGAACCAGAAGGGAGCCATAATGCCTGGAGGGGAATAAGTCAGGGAGAAAAATAAGGTCTGAATGGTGTTAAGGTTTGAGAAGGTAAAGGTTTTGTAGGTCATTATGAAGCTTTTGTGTTTGAGATGAGAAGTGATGTGAACTCATTTGCATTGTAAGAGCACTCTGGATGCTTTGTTAGCAGAAGATTGTAGGATTGCAAGAGGGAAGCAGAGTCACCAGTTAGGAAGCTATAGATAAAACCCGAGTGAGAGGGATGGTGGTTCAGGTCAGCAAGGTAGTAGTGGGAGAGATAAGTGGTAGTCAGATTCTGCATGTACTTCAAAGGTATAGCAAATAGAATTCTCTGCACATTTGGATGTGGGGTATAAAAAAGAGTAGAATTAAGAACGATACGTAGGTTTTGAGCTTTATCGTATGAAAAGATGGAATTACCATTAACTGAAATGGGAATTTGTGGATAGAGCAGTTTAAGTAGGAGTGTTTGAGTTTAGGAGTAGAATTTTGATCGTGTTAAATTTGAGATGACTATTAGATACCTGAATGGAAATGTGTAAGCGATGGTTCAATCTGGAAGTCGGGACTGGTTTGAGCTGAAGACATAAATTCGGTGGAGAAGGAAATGGCAACCCACTCCAGTACTTTTGCCTGGAAAATCCCATGGATGGAGGAGCCTAGTAGGCTACAGTCCATGGGGTTTCGAAGAGTCAGACACGACTGAGCGACTTCACTTTCACTTTTCACTTTCATGCATTGGAGAAGGAAATGGCAGCTCACTCCAGTATTCTTGCCTGGAGAATCCCAGGGACAGAGGATGCTGGTGGGCTGCCGTCTATGGGGTCGCACAGAGTCGGACACGACTGAAGTGACGCAGCAGCAGCAGCATAAATTTGGAGTCATTGGCATGTAGGTAGTATTTAAAGTCATAATGTTAGAGATGAGATCACCAGGAGAATGCAGATGGACAGAAAAGAGATCAAAGGATGGAGTCATGAGGCACAGTAATTTTGAGTTCTGAGAGATAGGCAAGAACCAGCTGAAGTGACAGGAAGGAACAGCAAAAATAGGGGCAAACAGGAATGTTGGGCAGTCTTGGAATCCAGGTGGAGGAAATGATTTCAGAAGGGAGCCATCTTTGTGTCAGATTCTGATGATAGGGAGATTAGGACTGAGAATTGACTTGGATTTGGCAAAGTAAAAGGTTAGCAGTGGTTTTGAGGAAAGCAGTGTTAGCAGAGACTAGTGGGGAAGAAATGAAAGTAGAATTCTTGGAGACTCAGGATCTTACTAAAAGGAGAGGAGAAAAATAGAGGAACAAATAGGGTCGGGGTCTTTTTTGTTTGTTTTTTTTTTAAGATGGGAGATGTATCAGCATATTTGTATTCTATAATCCAGAGGAGGAGGGGAATTGATGATACAGGATGGAAGAAATTTCAGGATTAAACCTGGAGTAGGCAAGGGGGATAGTGTCTCAAGTAAAAAAATAGGAAGAACTACCGTTCTTGTATTAGAATGAAGAAAAGCAAATTCCGTAGATACAGATGCCTATAGGTGGAGGTTTGTGGTGGTAGAAATTTTCTTCTGATTGCTACAATTTTTCTTAGCAAAATAGGAAGCAAGGACATCAGCTGAGAGTGAGGATGGGTGCTGAAGGTTTAGGGAAAGCGAATGGACAAGCAAAAATAATTGCCTGTAGTATTGTGGGCATACTTGACTACCACATTTAGCTGATGGCAAAACTTTGAACTAATCTCAGAACTAATGTTTTCATAACAACTGAAATATTTATTCTCGACATTATACATTGAAACTGTTGATTTTATTTTTAAAATTTTTTTAAACTTTTCATTTTGTATTGGAATATAGCCAATAAACAATATTGTGATAGTTTCAGGTGAACAGGGAAGGGACTCAGCCATATACATATACATATATCCATTCTCCCCTAAACTCCCCTCCCATCCAGGCTGCCACATAGCATTGAGCAGAGTTCCATGCTCTATACAGTAGGTCCTTTTTGTTTATCCATTTTCAGTATAGCAGTGTGTACGTGCCCATCCCAAACTCCCTAACTGTTCCTTCCCATCCTCCCCCCCACCCCCCTCCATGCGACCATAAGTTCTTTCTCTAAGTATGTTGAGCCTCTTTCTGTTTTGTATGTAAGTTCATTTATATAATTTCTTTTTAGATTCCACATATAAGGGATTTCATATGTTTCTCCTCTGTCTGACTGACTTCAGTCTGTGTGAAAGTCTCTAGGTTCAGTCTTGTTGCTGCAAAAGGCATTACTTCATTCTGTTTGATGGCTGAGTAATATTCTGTTGTATAAAAGTATCCCATCTGTATCCATTCCTCTGTAGCTGGACATTTAAGTTGCTTTCATGTCTTGGCTATTGTAAACAGTGCTGCAGTGAACATTGGGGTGCATGTATCCTTTTGGATCTTGTTTTTCTCTGGATGTATGCCCAGGAGTGGCTTGCAGGGTCATCGTAGCTATGTTTTTAGTTTTTTAAGGAACCTCCATACTGTTCTCCATAGTAGCTGTACCAATTTACATTGCCACCAACAGTGCAGGAGGGTTCCCTTCTCTCCACACCCCTCCTTCAGCATTTGTTTATGGATTTTTTGATGATAAGACATTCTGGCTGGTGTGATGTGATATGTTATAGGTCTTTTCTTTTTATGTCGTAGTTTTGATTTCCTTTTCTCTAATAATTAGTGATATTGAACATCTTTTCATGTGCTGCTTGGCCATCTGTATGTCTTTGGAGAGATGTCTGTTTAGGTCTTCTGCCCATTTGTTGATTGGGTTGTTTTGATGCTGTTAGGCATCATATGAGCTGTTGGTTTGGAGACTAATCCCTTGTTGGTCACATCATTTGCAAACATTTTCTCTCAACCTGTGGGTTGTCTTTTTGTTCTGTTTGTTGTTTCCTTTGCTATGCCAAAGGTTTTACATTTAAGTGGGCTCCACTTTGTTTATTTTTGTGCTTATTTCCATTATTCTGGGAGGCAGATCGAAAAAGATATTGCTGAGATTTATGTCAGAGTGTTCTGCCTGTATTTTCCTCTAGGAATTTTATAGTGTCTGGTCTCACATTTAGGTCTTTAATCCATTTCTTTTTTTTAATGTCACTGTTCAGTTTTCCAGCACCGTTTGTTGAAGAGACTGTCTTTCCAACATTGTGTAGTCTTGCCTCCTTTGTCACAGACTAATTGATCATATTTGCGTGGGTTTATTTCTGGGGAAAACTGTTGATTTAAAATACATATTCTGGATCGGTTCAGATGAAACAAAATGCTGCATGAAAAATTGTACAAAAAAGTTTGCTATGTAGCATGATCCTCAGGTTGTTTTACTTGCCGTCATATATCTCTGTAATTATTTACTAATAGGAAGCATAGTGGAGAGAAGCCATATGTCTGTGATAGGTGTGGACAGCGATTTGCCCAAGCCAGCACACTGACCTACCATGTTCGAAGGCATACAGGAGAAAAGCCTTATGTATGTGATACCTGTGGGAAGGCATTTGCTGTCTCTAGTTCTCTTATCACTCATTCTCGGAAGCATACAGGTAAGGATGTGACACAGAGATTGCCTAAAACAAGGACAGTTGTAATAAAAGAGTAAGGGAAATCGAGCCTTTACAGAAAGTAGGGTACAGGCTTCTGTGTTTGTGCTTCTTGAAGCTTTTTATGTTTCTGATTTTCACATAAATATAAGATGTAAAAACAGACAGATTTCTAGAATAATACACAGTGGGTGAAATTTTTTTTATCATGTAACTTATGTACATGAAAATCAAGTAATTTTGACAGTATGTAAGTTTGAGTTAAGACATTTTTTATGGCGTTAGAAAAACTCCTTAGCCTCTTGAAGCTTCATTTCCCTGGAATAAAGCTGTAAAGTTAAGGGGTTGGGATGAGTTTGGATAGAACATCAATTTAGTAACTTCCTAGGACTTTTTCTACAAAATATTCTAAGATTTGTAAATTAAATAGATACTTAAAACCCAAAGTATCAATTTTGAAGCAAAACCTGTTCAAAGATTTTCATTTTTTTGTAGGGTAATTTTTTAATAGATCTTCCTAAGTGATTTTAATTCCCCTTTAATAATCTTGTAGATAACAAGAATTGAAATATGGATTGATGAATTTTCATGTTTTTAATTTTATAAAAATCAGACTTCTTGCCCATTTTTAGTCTACTGGAAGGATATTTGGAAAAAGTTTTATTATATGAAAAAGTATCAGGTCATATGAACAGTATAAAATAATTAGTAATGTTCATTTAAGTTGGATCACACTGAAAATACCTCTAAAATACAATATAAAGAGGTCTTAATTTAAATAATACTTTAGAACAGCTTACTATAGATTATTGTAATTGATAAATATTATATTGGTATAGTACACCACTTCGCTATCTTTTATTTTCCATCTAGGTGAAAAACCATACATATGTGGTATTTGTGGGAAAAGTTTTATTTCCTCAGGAGAGCTCAACAAACACTTTCGATCCCATACAGGTCTGTGTTTAGGGAGAACGTATTATTTTTTGTTCTCTCTAATTTCTTTTTATGTAAACATTGACTTTAAACCATTATGGACTATATGGTATCTGGTCATACTCTAGCTATAGCTATATTTTAATGTATGAGTATCAGTTTTTATTTGTTTATTTTTTTGTTGTTTGGAGTATGGATTAAATTGGGTCAAAAATTATGTAGATTTTCTAAGATGTGTTCCAGGTAATCAGTAGTTTTTAAATGATTTGGATAAAATTGCACAGATATGCCAAATAATGAAAAGGGATAGGTAATACTAAGATACTATCAGATTTTCTTATGAAACAATATTCAGTATGCAAGTTTTAGGGATATATTCCAGCAATGACATGGTAATTCTAAAAGGTAGTGTATAGATAGTATGAAGAAAATATTAAATGTTCAAGGTTTTTTAAAACAAAGGAAAAGACCACTTTGACAATGCACTGTTCTTTATCTTTCTAAAAGTTATTCCTCATAATAGAAAGGATCTTCTAATTTATAAGCTACCTGAGAGTAGAGACCATAATTATGCATTTTTTCCCTTCAGCTACATCTCTTAGCCAGAGTCTGGCATATAATTGGCACTCACTAAATGTCTGATAGAGTTAATTTTTTAGTTTGAGGTTCCTGTTAGTGAAAATGCTTGATTTTTTCCTTGAAATAGGGAAGCTTTGCATAAAGGAAAGGAGTGCCTATGTATGGAAGTTTTTATTTCGCTATGTTAGAGCCAAGAGATTAAAATGGTAATTTGAAAGAAATTAAATTTAAGTAATATAATAATGTTAGTACTGTGTTCATGAACGTTGATATTTTTGCCTTAGCAGTTTCTGGAATACTGAGGCTTTGATTTTTTAACTTATTTTTCAGGAGAAAGACCATTTATCTGCGAATTATGTGGAAATTCTTACACAGATATTAAAAATTTAAAGAAGCACAAAACAAAAGTACATTCTGGTAAATGTTTGTGTTTTTTAAAAACTTGGAGCTCTCATACTTGTGCTGTTCCTTAAAATATTGAGATACACGTTGTAACAGTTTAAATTAGTTATGTATTTTTTAAAACAAGGTGTACCCATATGAGGAAGCTAGCTTTGTAATGTGTAGGTGAGTTCACTGTTTCTTTCCATATTGACCTTGTAATAAACATTGCTTGAAAATATTTTCTCCTTTAAAACCTGATGTATGAACAATTTCAAGAATGAAAGAATATATAAAACAACTGTATGTCACTCTTGCCCATACTAGAGTCTGGGTTACTTGGGGTTTATTGTAGTTATGCAGAGAAAGGAGCATCATGAACACCAGTCCAAAAATTGTATGAGAGTAAATAGGGAAACCGATATGCCCAAATTGTCACAATATGTGAAGTGGAAAACCATACTACAGAATTTTTAGTCTGTTGCTTAAAAATGAATCCTTGAAGAAGTTTCAACGTGCTTACGATTCTTTTCTGCCTAGAAACAAAATTAGTCTTCCTCACTGTGTAGAGATGATACTAAGTTTTGGGTAGTAAACATAAACATCATAAAGATTAAGGTAGTAACATCTGAAAACTTGAGTGAGTCCTAAATTCGACGAGCATTTGTTAAGTACCTCTAAAGTACACATAACCACTCAGATACTAGGAAAGTGTAGTCTGGCCCTCAGAGAGCTTACAGTCTAGTGCGGGAAACCAGAAATCTAAGTAAATAACTGTGATTACAAGACAGAATGTAGGCTGTGGTAAAGACATAAGAGTACTGAAGAAGAGATTGAGTCTTTCTGACATGAGTATTGGGAAGGCTTAATTCCAGAGAACCTGAAACATGGAGGATGGAAATGGGAAAGGAAATGTTCATCCAGGCAGAGAGAACATTGTGAAGAGAGTCACTGCAACAAGAGACTGCAGGTTGTATTCTTGACTGGCTGAACTGAAGAATAGTTTGGCAAAAATAGAGTTATAACTTTATAAAAGTTTGCAAGTTTGTCTAATGAGGATAGTGAGATTGAAATCATTGTGTTAGTACTTTTGGAGTAACAAGAGCATGGGAAAGCTAGTGAAAATTTTGAAGAGCAAAGTGTGTCTTTAGTCATCAGGGTAATTAATCCCTTGAGTGATGCAGAATTTCTTTTGAAAATAAATGAAAGTGCCATACTTCTGAACTTGAACTCACAGAATGATATGAATTACTAATACATTCAGTGAATTAAAAAGAGTACTTACCTGTGTAGCACTATAAGGTACTTGGAAGTAGAGAAGTATAATTAGACATTTGCTTTAAGGAATATATAGTCTGTTGAGCATTCAAGACATACCTAAGTAGGATGTTATATAGCAGTAAAATAGATAGCTAGGTATCACAAGGTGGTATATGAAGTATTGACAAATGAGTGATTAAGAAACAGCTTACCCTGGTCTAAAGCAATTAAGTCCATTTTTATAATGGAGTTGATGCATGAACCTAGTCTTCATGCACTTAATGGGTTTGTGCAGGTAATGAGAAGGGCAAATCAGCAAAAGAGAAACAGTGTGACTATCAGGGTTTTTGTTTTGTTTTTAAAGATAGTGAATTTTTTCCCTTCTCCTTCAGGTGCAGATAAAATTCTAGATTCCAGTATAGAAGATCATCCCTTGAGTGAACAAGACTCCATACAAAAAAGTCCTCTGTCAGAAACTTTGGATGTGAAACCTTCTGATATGACTTTACCACTAACTCTTCCACTTGGGACTGAGGACCACCACCTGCTACTGCCTGTCACAGATAACCAGTCTCCTACGTCAGATACATTGCTGAGGTCGACCGTGAACGGGTATTCAGAACCACAGTTGATTTTTTTACAACAGCTATATTGACTTTGTGAGGAATATGGAATTGCTAAGACGTCTCTGGTAGTAAACATAAACATCTCTGGTAAGGTGCACATATTCACATTAAATTGACCATTCATTTGAGTTGTGACCATTATTTTCATTCACTGAAGTAAAAGCACCTGCTGCTGCGTCATGGCTGCAATGCTTGTTTTGATGTTTGGTTTTTATGTCTAGGTTATACACAACTTTTAAAGGAGTGAATTATACTGCAATAGCACTATTTGGGGTGAATAAGTATAACTTTGCTTTAGAGTTGCCTTAATTCCATTTCTGTTTTTCATTTCAGAATTCACTTTCATTTACTGAAGTGAAATCTATCAGTTTATGATTGAGTTTTGACCTGTAGAATATGTTTATTTTCTTCTCCAAATTTAAACAGAATCCATAATAGTATCAGTCCATGACAGTGCTGTTAGCAAGCTCCATAGACCAGTATATAAACTATGAAAGTCACTCAGTCATGTCTGACTCTTTGGCAAATTCTCCAGGCCAGAATACTGCTTTCCCTTCTCCAGGGGATCTTCCCAGCCCAGAGATTGAACCCAGGTCTCCCACATTGCAGGTGGATTCTTTACCAGCTGAGCCACAAGGGAAGACTTTCACATATAAACTGTGAGGGGGAAATTCATATTTCTACTAGAAAAATTGAGGTACTCAATAAGATTTGTGCTATTTCTCCACTGAAGGAACTTTTAGTTACTTTGAAGTAACTATTAATCCACTGAAGGTAACTTTTCTAATGAAACAAAAAGTGCTTCTCTTAAAAACTAGAAAACTAGATATAAATTTTGTTGTGTAGAACTCAGAATTCTGGAGAAAACTGGTGGTCATTACTTTTTTTATTTGAATTATCTGAGACTACATTTTCAAAATGAATTTTAGATAACTATTTGGTGTTTTTATCTTATTAAAAGCAGTTTCAAATTTGATGCAGATTGTTTTAATAAGTTTCTAGATAATTGGAGATGAGGGAAATATACTGAGTTTTGAAAATTTTTGATAAGCTTCTCTTATACCTCTTATGCACTTTTTAAAAAATAAAATCCTAAAGAATTTTCTAAATAGAAACTTAGTGCATATTATAAAACACTTAACTTCTGAATTTGGTACATTATATTCATAAGTATTTAAAAAATTAACTTCAGTTATAAGTAGACATTTGCGTTATCAGAAAGCTAGTTTATTAAAACATTTTATATTTGAGTTTTTTTATAAGTTTCAAGTTTGAAATTTTTATAGATTAAACCATAACAGTTGGTGGTGGCTGTAGTTTCACAGTAGTCCTTTTCCTTCCTAATGAACTTAGAAAATTCAAATTTATTCTGATACTTAACTACCACTTGCCCCTTCCATTTTCCCCACGTATTGATTTAATCTCACTGCCTAGTCTTTGGACGTTAAATTTTTAGTTCCACAAAGTCTGTTCCTATACTGCTGATCAAACACCATGATGACCTTATTTCCTATTTCTGCCATGCATTAGTTACGGCTCATTTGTTTTCTGCTTTTAAACTACACCTGTAATAAAATTAATGTATTTTCTATTGGTATTGATTTCTTTAATTGTATTTTCTCTGGGGTCCTAGTCATAGGAACCAACCAGAAGACTTAATAAAACTAAATTCTTGTAAACTGTACAGATCATCACCATTTCACAGCACAGTCAGCATTTTCACAATAGCCACCAGTGGGATTGACTTAAGAGTTTGAAATACTGCCTTTGTACAATGTACATCAAACTTAGTATTTAATTTATCTAAGAAATCTAGTTATTCATATGTATTAATTTAATATACAGGGTTTAAATACAATTTATAAAGTTATTAAAATGTTCAACTAACCTATTCTGGCTTAAATTCAATAGGAATTTATTGGAATGTGAAGAAATTAAAGAAAATTAAGACTCAGTCTTTTTAAGAAGTCTGCTGAAATGGAGAGGCTATATTTAATTCACATCTTCATTAATCCAAGCATCTAATGAACAAAATTTCTTTTTAAAAACTGCTACAGTGATGTCATAATTCTGTAAGGGTAGTAGTTACCAGATTTCCTCTAACATGATGGTAATTAGTATTTTGTCTTTAACATAAATTAGCTTTTCAGTTTATTATTTTTAGGATTAAAGGATTGGAGTGGCTAAGGTTGATTTGTTGTGTTTTTCTTCATCACATTATCTGCTTCTTAGCTAAAATAATTTTATTTTAAGTTGCCATGGCATGACGCTCTTCCAGAATGACTTGTAAAGAAAGTTTGAAGACTTGAGTTTTTGTCTTGTCATTCTTCTTCTAATGCTGTATTACTATCATGTGCATATATTTTAGTTGTATCTGCTATCATTGTAACACTCATAATTATCAGTTAAGTTCATCTTTAAATATATTTGTTACAGTGCAGTGTTTTGGGAAAGGTCTATTTCTAAATTATGTAAGTATTACTAAGTTTTTTGAAAGTCTTTTTAGAATGCTGAAGATCTTACTAAGAAATTATTTTCTAAATTGATTTTGTTTTGTATTTGTATTAGATAATTCCTTCTGTATTGTTAGATTTTAGGCTTTTTAAAAAGAAACCATAGATTATATATAAAGGATTTTTTGCTGTTATTTGTTTTATGTTTCATTTCATAGAATGATTTTGATAGACAGATTTTAGAAAAGTGTTTTATTTTTTCCCAAAAGAAAAGGTCCTGTCTGTTCTGTTGCAACAGTAGTTTGTCACTTTTCTGTATGTTTCCTGTCTACAGAAATTGTACAAATGATAGTTGAAATGTGCTTATATAAAGACAATTAACCTACATGTACTCATTTTTAAAAATATCCTAGTACGATTAACATTTTATACACATCAAAAACATTTTAAAAATAGTGGTGTCCAAGCCCCACCACACCTTGGGCCCTTTGAATCAGTCTTCAGAACATGCTAGAAAAGCTCCATAGGTGGTCTTAATTCATACCAAACATAGAAAATGATTATCCTAAACACTTCTTGGTGTTCTTCCTTTCGGCTCTTGATATGTGGTATGTAGGCAGTATCGTGGGTTTTTTTTTTTTTTTTTTCTGGCTGCACCCTTCAACTTGTGGGAGCTTAGTTCTGTGACTAAGGATTGAACCTGGGCCCTCGGCAGTGAAAGTGTGGAGTCCTGACTGCTAGACTGCTAGGGAAGTTCCTATATTGTCTCTTGGTAAATGAAGCTCTTAATATGACTTTCCACTTTTTACTCAGATTTTGAGTCTTTGGAATTTGGCTAGAAATACCACCAAATAAATTGTATTTTAATGCCACTTCTGTAAATTCTATGTTTTTACTCATTAGTTATGAGCATTATTGATAGTTATCAGAGCATTTCTTGAGACAGTGATACGATTTACTTAACCTGTCCTCTGCAACCCCCACCCCACTTCATTTAGCAGAGATGTGATGTATTTGCTTAATGGATTTGGATAATTATCATGTAAACATAGTAGTCATTCAGAAATAGGGTATTTATTTTCAAGAAGTATATACTGAAATAAACACCATGCATATGAATCAAGTATTTGAATTAAAATATCTGGCCATTACTTGAAATGCTAGAAAATTATTGAAATCAGAATTACATAAAGCCATAAAGATGAACAAGATGATTTCCTCTTTTAAGTTTACAGTCAAATGGGAAAGACAGGCCTGAATGCCAGTGTTACAACAGAGGAAGGCAGGAAAGGAAATGTCAAGCAGTCAGTGGAAGTTGAATGGACAGAGAAAGAGCTGTTGCTTTCCTGGATAGGCAGGCAGGAGGAGGTGGCTTTTGGGAGGGATTTGTTCACAGCTGACTGAGGTAGGGGAATGGAGAGAAAATCTGAAAAGTGTTGGCAGAGATAGGAATCATTAAAGACACATCTAGCACTATACCTCTACCACCTTTCTCTGCCTTTCACTTGTGCTGGGAGAATGGAATTAGATAGCCAGGTTTATACTCCAGGATCTCACACTCTCAACTACAGTTGAATGCTAAAGGGCAGGGAGTAGATGGCCACGTTTGTAACATGCTTGTGATTCCATGCTTGTGATCACAGCTGATAGAACACCTTACCAGGAAGAAGTTGGGCTAAGTAGTTCTTAGCTCAAACGAACTACTTCAGACACTTGGTTTACATGTACATAAAAAAGATCATTTAGATCTGGTCCATAGTCCGTGAAGCAAGCCAAAAATCTAAAGGAAATAGTGAAGAAGCAGAGAAAGCTGATCTATAGAATAAAGCAAGGGGATGAAGCAGGTTTGCAGAACCAAATGACCGTGACCCAGTGAGAAACCAAAGTGGCCTGGGAGTTGCAGTCGCACTCGAGGTGGCATAGCTATGTTTCGTTTCCTTGTGCATGAATGCCCATGATTTTTGCCTATTAAATCCTTACAGTAAATCCCCCTTTTCTTTTTTTGGCTATGCTGCACAGCTTGTGGGAACTTAGTTCCCCAGCCATGGATTGAACTTGCAAATTCCATAAATCCCCCTTTTCTTAAGCAGGCTTGAGCCAGTTTCTCTTCCTGCATCCCCAATTTAGTAACCTAAGTTTTGATCCTTAGTGATTGAGTAGATGGTAATGCTATTAATTATGACAGGGAGATAAGATGGAGGTTTACGGAAGAGAAGACTTTTTATCTGCTGGATTTGATTGGTGGTGAGACACCTATGTGAAAATGTCTAGCGGTGGTTGGAAATGGGGACTGAAACCCAGTTGAGGTTAAAGCTAGAGATAGAGATCTTGCAGCATAAGGCTAATAATTATTGTGACAGAAATGATTTAGGCAACCCTGGGAGATGGTATAGAAGAACAAAAGATGAGGACAGAATCATGGGGGAATATACATTCTTAAGAATGAGCAAAAGACAGAACAGGAGATTGATAACAGGAAGAAAACTAGGGTGGTACAGATTTCACAAAGACAAAAGTGGCTCTGTACTGATCACATAGTACAGAGAAATAGGATTCCAGTCAAAGACAACATTGGG